AGGAAGCCAGAGGTGTCAGATCCCCCAAGAGCTGGAGTTACTGGCAATTGTGAGCTGCCTGACATAGTTGCTGGACATTGAACTCAGATCCTCTGGAAGAGCAGTACATGCTATTGACCACTGAGTCATCTCTCCAGTCCAACATAGAAGGTTTTAAAATAAATTTTTTATTTGAGAATTTCATACAATGTATTTCTACCATATTCACCCTCCCAACTTCTCTCAAATCCATCCCTACCCCCACCAGCTTCATGCCCTCTTTTTTTGTTTGTTTGTTTGTTTGTTTGTTTTAAATAACTCACGGACTACAATTTGTGCTGTTTATGTATTCCTGGTTGTGGAACCATTCACTAGAGCCACACCTTAAAGAAAACTGAGTTTCCTTCACCTAGAGAAGCCAGCAACTGAGCAAAGCTCCTCAGTTAGGAACTGGGGGTTCATGAACTCCTTGACATTCCATGTTAGAATGTCGACTGACTTGACCTTTTGCAGCTCTTGTATAAGCAACCACAGATGCTGTGAGTTCATGACAGTCTTGTCATGTCCAAAAGACACTGTTTTGTTCCAGTCCTCCCCAATCTCTGGTTCTTGCAACCTTTCTACCTCTAGCTTTACCATTTTGCCACCCTGAGCCTTGGGAAGAGGATGTGATATAGATGCCCATTTTTAGCTCAGCACTCCACTGACACTTATTCTCTGCACTTTGACCAGTTCTGAGCTAATCTCCATCTAATGCACAAAGAAACTTCTCTAATGAGGTATGCGAGCTGCACTAATCTATGGGTATAGAGGTATGAATTCAGAGTATATTTTGATTCTATTTCCATTTAACAGGATAATAGTAAAAGTTCACTCCTGGGGCCTGTGAGTTCTCCAACCACGTATTCTTGGCCAGATTTACAGTACCAGACATATGTTTCCAAATAGAGGGTTTATTTATTTTGTGTGTGTGTGAGTGTTATGCCTTCATGTAAGTGCACCTGTGTCGTGCAGTGCCTGCAGAGGCCAGAAAGAGGGTGTCAGATCCCCTGGAACTGGAGTTGTGGATGGTTGTTAGCCACCATGTAGGTGCTGGGATTCAAACCTGGGTCCTCTGCAAGAGCAGCCAGTACTCTTAACTGCTGAGCCATCTATCCAGCCCCCAAACAGAGGGCTTTTTAAATCCCCTGCGGGCACAATGGCAGGGTGCTTGCCTAGCTCGTGTGTAAGGCCATGAGTTTCTTACTCAGCACCACCAAAAAAAGGGGAAATTGTAACATAATTACAAGTACAAAAGCATACTATACCAAGAGAGACACATCCCCAGCCCATGTTTACATCTATTATTGTGATGATTATATATAACAGTCTCCAAGCACCAGCAGGAACAAGGCAGGTGAAGGGACTATGTAAAGAAGGTTGTCTTGTGCTGACCAGATGGTTCATCAGGTAAAGGTGCTTGCTACCAAGACTGATGACCTGGGTTTGATCTCTGGGACCCACGTGGTAGAAGGAGAGAACTGACTCCCATAAGTTGTCCTCTGACCTCTACACGAGTACAGTAGCATGAGTGCATGCACACACACCACAGAGCTCATAGCAGCTGCGGTTGCCTGCACAAGATCAAGCCAGCCAAAACTCCAGCATGGGAGGGAAGGTCTCCTGAGGCCTCATCCCTAGTGCAGGAACTATTGACAGTTGTTGACTACTGGGGGAGGTACAGTTACTTTTCTTTGGGGATGTGAGTACAGGGTTACCCAGCCCCAGTGAATGACTCATACCCATTTGTATATGGTCAGCAATAATTGGACTTGGGGGGATAATTATAATAAGAATCATACATGAAGTAAGGAGGGAAACAGGTTGGGGGGAATCTGGGAGACTTGGAGGGACGTAGTGAGGGGTGGTTATGATGAAAATACATTGCACGTATATATGAAAATTTCAAAGAATAAATACAAATAGTAAATAAATAAACAAATATAAAACTTTTCAAAAATATTATCTGAGACTTTTGGAAGATTACAGGGAATAGGTTTCTTCCAGAGAGGCTAAAAATAATTATTTTAATGAGAAATATTCCACGCTTTTGTTTGTGACAGGTCTCATGTAGCAAAGGGTGGCCTACAACTCACTATGTAGCTGAGGCTGGCCTTGAATACCTAGTCCTCCTGCCTCTACCTCCAAAGTATTGAAATTATAGGCCTCCACCACTACGCCTGATTACATTTCACTTTTTCCCACTCACTACTGAGAATTCAACCCAGAGTCTCAGGAATGCTGGCAAGCACCCCATCTACCACTGAGTTACATTCCCCAGCTTTCCACATTTTAAATATTGGCATCTAATTCACAAATATTGTTAAAATAATGTGGAAGTCAAACTAAACACATTTGTGTGTATGGTTTTATGTGGGCCATTTTATGTCTTCTAGTATAGGACTACTGATGAGTCAAAATAAGGTTGCTCTTCTCCTAAGCAAAAAGAACTATCTACCTGAAGAAATAAAAAGGACTTCAGTATTGGAGTGTTCCTTAATAAGGGGCACAGTCTGTTTTCCCTATTCTTCTCTGACACTTCTGAGCACATGAGAAACGAAACTCCACATGGTTTGGAAAGATTCAAATTCAGAATCCTAGGCTGGGCACATAACTCAGCAGTAAAACCCTGTCGGATGTCCGGGCCCTGGTTTCAATTCTCAGTGCTTGAGGGGCAGGAAAAAGCAGAATCCTGTTTTCTTTTCCTGAATAGAGTCAAGCCAAGTCAGGAGACTAGAAAAGTGGTGGCAGTGTGATATAGTAGTTTCGTGTTAGGTTTGGCAGGTTGGACTGAGATTGTTTTATTTAGGGGTAAGACTGTGTCATTTTGCCTGAGTTTATCTTATTGAGATAGGTTAGCATGATAAAATCAATTCTAGGCATCAAGAGGCTCACATAAGTGGAATGACAGTTAATGTCAAAGGGTCTTCAGATGAGAATGAAGGATCATACAGAGAGTCTTAGAAGAGACTATAACAAGAAAATGTAGCTTCCACTGTAAAATGAGTTACATTTCTTGGCCATTTGAGTTTATGAGACAAACAATTATAAAAACTACTTTAATCTTTTCTTTAAAAACTCTAACATATCCAAGGTTTGACATAAAACATCACTATTATTGTTTTCTAAACCACTTCCCACTGTAACTTCTACTTTCTCTTGTCACAACAGTTAACTCTGTCCTAGGTTTTTGTTGCTGTCCCTGTTATTTGTATTGTGGTACTGGGGATAGAATCCAGTACCTTGTACATGTTAGCCAAGCACTCTGCCACTGAGTGCACATGTTAGGCAAGCACTCTGCCACTCTACCTAGGCCCAAACTCCACATTTTTATATCTGTGAAAGTATATTTTCCAGAAACGCTTAAATATAAATATCATTTTGATTTCTGAAGAACAAGTTTGGCATTACAGAAGCCTCAAACTATATTTAATCTCAATACCTGTTTTCTTTTATGTATAAAAAGATAGAAATCCAAACTTTGCTAACAATAGTTGTATGTCCCCAATAATGTTGTTAAAGTTTTTTGCTTGGGGAGAGATGGCTCAGTAATTAAAGAGTATTTACTTCTCTTACAGAAGACCAAGTTGGTTCTCAACATCTACCTCGGGCAGCTCACAATCACTTATAACTTCAGCTCCAGGGGATCTGATGCCCTCCTCTGACCTCCATGGATATCTGCACTCATGTGCATATACCCATATATAGACACACACATAATTTTTTTTTCTGATAATTCTCAAATCTACTCATATAAATTATGCATCTTTCCTGGATTATTATTGTATATACACTCTATGAAAGGTCAGAGATGTCTTTAAAATTTTTATTTACTTTTATTATTATTCGTGTGTATGAATGATGAGGGGGTGTGCATGCTCGAGTGCCCATGTGAAGCTCAGTGGACAACTTTGGGAAACTGGTTCTCTCCTTTCACATTTTTGTTGGTTCCAGGGATGGAACTCAGGTTGTCGGGATTGCATTATAGGGTGGTAAGTATCTTTACTTGCTGAGCCATCTCCAGTCCAAGACATCTTTTAATATTATTTAAAAGCTAGCAAGATCAGAGAAGGGTGAGGTGACTCATTTCGGTAATCCAAGCACTTGGAAGGCTAAGGCAGGAGAGGTATGAGTTTGAGGACAACCTAGGCTGCAGAGTGAGGTCTTGACTAAAAAACAAAGTCACCAATGGGACTGTAGAAGTGTCTCAGTAGTTGAGAGGGCTTGCTGCCCTTCCAGAAGACCCAAGTTTGGTTCCCAGGACCAAGGCAAGCAGCTGACACCCACCTGTAACACCAGTTCCAGGGTATCCAGTGCTCTCTTCTGGACTTTGAGGGCACCTGCACACATGTGATAGCCACACAGATACATACACACATAAGTAAAAATAAATCCTAGGAAAGTTTTTTTTAAAACCCAAAACAAAAAGAAATAAAAAGCTGACAAGATCAAATATAACAAAGTTAAATTTTAAAACTTGTCATAGATAGTTTCAGAACCAGCTTTATTTTCTCTACAGATTGCTAAGGAAATATTACCTCCTCAGGTGACCTTCTTCCCACCCCTCCTCCAATTATCTCTTCTCATCCTTTTCATGTGTTCTTTTTCTTCAAGACAATTTACCTTCAGCTGACACATGCTATATATATTATTTGTTAATAAATTCAAAGGCTGTGTTCCAAACTTGTTCTGATTTTCTCAGCGGTAATTCTTAATATGTTAAAACAAAGCATACCCAAAGAACCCACCAATTGTCTGCTGCTCAAAATGACTTCAATATCTAGATTCTTCATTACACCCAAACAGCACATTGATTGTAACTGTTTAGGGCAGTATTTTTCCCCAAGTCTTTCCCTCTATTAAGATAATAATTAAAACTTGGTGGCCTTACAGCAGCTTCCATCTATCAACTTTTTGGTTCATAAAGAAATTTTGGAAACACGTAACTAATCAGTAATGAAAGGGGGAACTAAGCAGTAGCCTTAATTGGGGCATTCGCGGGCTAAATGTCCAGATTTGCCACAGCGGTAGCAGCTGATTTCGACAGTGTTGCTACAATTCACCGCCATGTGGCCGGCCATTCTCACCACATCCATAGCACTTGATTTGGGTGCAGTCTTTCTGGATGTGCCCAAATTCGCCACAAGTGTAGCATTTCTTCTCTTCTTGCTGGCACAATCACGAGCCAGGTGGCCTGGTTGGCCACAGATGAAACAGCACTTCTCTCTCTTCTGTTTAGTCTGGGTACAGTCCTTGGCAATGTGGCCTCTTTTCCCACAGTTGTAGCAGGTGCCCCGGAGACGATGGCAGTCCCTGGCATAATGACCAGTTTCTCCACAGCAATAACAGATGTCAGTCTGGCTGGAGGAACTACACTGAGGACCTCTGTCACGGCTTCCGGATGTTCGTCCTCTAGTTCCTCCTTTAGGGCACTCACGGCCCCAGTGGTCAGAGCATCCACACCTGAAACAAGTTCTACCACTCATGGTACTGTGAGATATTCTGGTGAGCAGGCCTACGCACCGCTGCAGTGGAGCCCCGAGGCGACTCCCCTAAGATGGCTTAGATGGAAATGGAGGTTTTCCTTGGGGCTTCTGTGACGTCACATAAGCGCCACGCATTGCCGCTCTCTATTTAAAAAAAAAAAAAAAAGCCGAGTGTGGTGGCACATGCCTTTAATCCCAGCACTTGGGAGGCAGAGGCAGGTGGATCTCTGTGAGTTCAAGGCCAGCCTGGTCTACATAGTGAGTTCCAGGACAGCTGGGGGTACAGGGAGACCCTGTCCCAAAAAGACCAAAAAAAATTGGAAATTGAAATAGCAATGAAAATATTTTAGAAATAAAATATTTTTAAATTGGCTTTCTCTAAATGGATGTTAATGGCTGATAAATAACAATCTCAGTTATGCTTTTTCCCCTCGTGGTGGTGCTGTATGTTTAGTTTAGTTTAGTTTTAGCTTTTCTACGCATCTGGACATGGTCTCACCATATATTCCAGCTTGGCCTTAATCTCAAAATCCTTTTTGCCTGGGCCTTCTGAGTGCTAGGAGTATAGATGTTCACCACCACACAGGCCAAACTGTTTTCTACACTTGAGCCCTTAAATTTCAATCCCTTCTTGTTCATACTCTGACCTGTAGAATTTATCGTAATATAGTTAGTCTCTCTAGATGTGATGGCACAGGCCTATAATCCTAGCCCTCAGGAGACTGAAACAGATGAATCTCCAATTCAGTGGAGCCTGCACTATGTTGTGAGTTCTGCACTAACCTTGGGCACATAGCAAGAAAACTTGATTACCTACTAGATCACTAAGAAACCTTTTTATTAATTTTTTAATGTTATTTTACTTTTCTGAGACAAGATCTTGTTGTGCATCCCAGACTAACTTGGAGCTCACTGTGTAGCACAGATTGGTCTCAAAGTTGCACCAACCCTCCTGCCTTATCCTCCTGAGTTCTGGGTTTACAGGTGTGTGCCTTGTCCAGATTGGATAATAAAACTTTGTTTTGTTTTTAATTAAAATATTTTGTTTAAAATATAAGAAATCCAGGGCTAGAGAGATGGTCCAGGGTTAAGAGTACCAGCTGCTCTTGCACATGACCTGGGTTCAATTCCCAGCACCCACATGGTAGCTAACAGCCATCTAAGACTCAAGTTTCAGGAGAATCTAACACCCTCTTCAGACCTTTGCTGGCATTGCAACAACATGGGTACACTTACATACATGCAGACAATATACTCATACATATAAAAATTAAAAATAAAAATATTTAAAAGTAATAAAAATAAGAGATCCATCAGGCTCTGATTGTCGCTCAGGGAGAGTATTTGTCTTATGCTCTATCTCCAGCACTGAAAAGAAAACAAAAAGAAAATAACAAATTAGAGAAATATGTGTTTTCTAAAAATCCATAAACTGCCACAGTCAGATTTGCTCAGGGTATAACAAAGTTTATTATTTTATTTCATCAATCTTAACTTTCCTCTTTTATAGTTTGTTTCATTTTTTGAGACAGGGTCTCATACAGCCCAGCTGACCTCAAATTTTCTATGTAGCTGAGGATATAAATCTTGAATCTGACCCTCCTTCTACTTCCCAAGTGCTGGGATTACAGGAATGGACCATGAGGCCTGGCTTGTACTCTTAACCTTCAATATAAAGCCACCATCACCATTTATGTTGTAAAACAGCAAGGTTGAAGCAATCAGTATAAAGAAAACATTATTGCTAACCAGTTGTGTTGGTGCACACCTTTAATCCCAGCACTCAGAGGCAGAGGCAAGCAGATCTCCAATAAGTTTGAAGCCATCCTGGTTTACAATGTGAGTTCCAGGCCAACCAGGACTAATAGTGAGACCCTGTCTCAAAACAACAACAACAACAACGTAATACATTATTGCTTAGAAAATAAATGCAATTAAAAGGGGCTAGGTACATAGTTCAGGTGTAGAGCACTTGGTTATGCCATGAGTTCAATCCCAATCAAAACAAAATGTTTATAAACACATTCAAATATTGTACAGATTTCCTCTGTGGTGTTTTTCAAATTGTTTGTATTTTATATACAGACATGTTGTACATTTAAACAAATACAAAAATAAGTATTAGTGCTGAGGAAATAGCCTAGTGATAGAGTGCTTCCTCGTAAATTCAAGATCCTGGGTCAGCTCTCCAGAACCATACAAAACAAACAAACAAAGCAAACAACAACAAAGTGTGGGAGATTAATACTGAAACGTCATTTTATTTTTATCTTTTATTGTTGTTTGTTTTGTTTTTTGAGACAGGGCCGAATATAGCCGAAGATAAGCCTTGAACTTGATATTTCTGACACTGCCTCCCAGTGCTGGGATTATAGGCAAGTGCTACCACATTTTTCCTCCTCCTCCTCCTCCTCCTCCTCCTCCCTCTCACTGTCTAACCCTTTCACCATGGTTTCCCCATTCAAAGTGTCCACATTTTCCCCATTTCTCCCTTGCTAATACCAGTCTTCTATGGTCTCTCTCTTTTCCTTTATCCCCAAGGTTCCCTC